TTTTAAAGGTAGCACCCCTAATCAGTTTCGCAAAGTAAAAAGGTTTTATTTTTAAAAAGACTTTGCGAATTTTAGCGTACTCTGATATTTACAGTAAGGAGGGGTGTTACAATTGGTATCAGAGCACGTTTCTGCGTCTCTGAAAAGTTTTTCAGTCAGTCATTTTTCAGAAAAACCTGAACCGTCATGCTCACGCCCCGCCGACGACAGGTAAGTGCTGATTCAGTTTTTCAGTTATAAACATATTACTTTGCCTATGCTCAGAATTAAGGATCAGGACTTTAGTTAAGATGCTCAAATAAGGTTCAGACTTTAGAGTTCGGACATGACTCTAGAATTCAGGGCATTCAGATATGACTCTAGACGTTAGGATTTTCCTATATGACTCTAGAGTTCTTCAGGATTCACGTCAGTATTTATCGGCCACTTTTTGGCAACTCGTCAAGAGATATGTGTGTCTTAGTAATAAGTCAGTAATGTTATCCCGTAACCAGTAATGTTTTCACGTATTCAGTAATATTAAATTTTCTCAATGTTCAGATGCCGCCACGTAGAGAGCCCGATCATCAGGTTCCTACTCAGGCTACGGTAGTCGCTCAGTTCCGCGACTATCACGCCGAAAAGTTCTCAGGGCAGGGAGACCCCTGCATCGTTGATGAATGGATTCAGGGGTTGGAGTTCATCTTTGAGGTTATGGAATGCCCCGATAGGTATCGCGTAGTTTGCGCTCAGCTTCAGCTCACTGGTGATGCAAGGCTCTGGTGGAACGCCTACTGGAGCATGCGTCCCAGTGAAAAGGTGGGTTGTACATGGGACATGTTCAAGGAGTTAGTCCGCGACAAGTACTACCCTTCCTACTATCGGGCAGAGATGGAGCGCCAGTTCTTAGCGCTTCAGCAGGGCACTCGTACTGTTGATGAGTACGAGCGAGAGTTCACCAGAATTGCAGGTTTCGCACCGGATCTTGTTCGCACGGAGGCCCAGAGAGCGCAGAGGTTCATTGACGGACTTTACCCAGCAGTTCGTCATAACATCGTGGGACACGGGACTCAGACCTACGCTCGTGCCGTTTCTATCGCCCAAGAGGTGGACGCTAGTATCAGGAGGGAGGCAGTTCGTGATCGTGCCCAGCCATCCACCCCAGCTCAGCCATTTGCAGCTCCACCAGCTCTACCAGCCCCTCAGCCAGCCAAGGAGAAGAAGAGGAAGGGAAAGGGTGCAAAAACTGACCGGAGGACCCGACAGAGACAGCAGCCGATTCCACCGTGCCCGACTTGTGGTCGACTTCACAGGGGAGAGTGTCGTGCTGGACAGGACATCTGTTACTATTGTCAGGAGCCGGGACATTTTGCGAGTCGTTGCCCGAAGAAACTCCAGCAGTAGCCTCAGCAGCCACCACAGCAGCAGCAGCCACCACAGCAGGCACAGAGGCCGCCTCAGCAGCAGCAGCAGCAGAGGGGCAGGCAGCAGGCCAGGGTTTACGCGGTCGATCAGGCGGAGGCAGCACAGCAGCCAGGTACCATGTCTGGGATGGTTGTTCTTAATGATATTCCTGTGTTGGCTTTATTCGATACTGGAGCGACGCATACCTTCATTTCACGACGATGTCTCGATGCCATCGGAATTCATGCCGTTACCGCTGTCGATCCTCTCGAGGTGAGTTTAGCCTCGGGACGAAAGATAGTGACCTCAGCCAAAGCCTCAGATCTTAGCCTTTCCATCGGTGGCCGAGTATTGACTGCCGACGCGTTTTTTCTCGAGATGAAGGATTTTGATCTTATTCTCGGGATGGATTGGCTATCCTTCTATCACGCAGATATCAGATGTCATGACCGGGAGATCACTCTCTATCTTCCGGGAGATGAGTCGATTACTTTCTTCGGCTCCAAGAATCGTTCACTGCCTCATGTTATATCGATGGCGAAAGCCACTAAGTTATTGCGACGAGGCAACTGCCAGGGTTACCTGGTGAGCCTTGTTGAGGATTCTCAGAAAGCACGGACACCTCATGATGTTCCAATCGTTCGCGAGTTTGTGGACGTATTCCCAGACGAGCTTCCAGGAGGACCGCCCAACCGTCAGGTGGAGTTTTCTATCGATCTTATTCCAGGGGCCGGTCCAGTATCTAAAGCCCCATATCGCATGGCGCCTAAGGAGTTACAGGAGCTTAAGACACAGATTCAGGAGCTGTTACGACTCGGTTTTATTCGACCGAGCGTGTCACCTTGGGGAGCACCAGTTCTCTTTGTTAAGTAGAAGGACGGATCTATGCGTATGTGTATCGACTACCGGGATCTTAACCGGTTGACG